TCCTGTAACCCGGCGCATTTTCGGTTTTGCTACTAAAAAGAAAACCAAAACACGTTGCGCAGTGTTGAGCTGGTAGGTCAACATGCTTCAGGGGAATTCCGAATTGTCACCACAGACCCAGGGCTCCGCACCTCGCCGTCTCAGAGGGCCGCTCTCCCCTGAATCCTCTGGGGAGCTCAGGGGGGTGCACCCCAACCCGTGAAACACCACCCTCTCCTTAGTTCTTCCTTCGTATTTATGGTAGGATGTGTGGAGAAGGTGCATGGAAGCTATAACAGGTTTTAAAAATGCATAATCTCCCTGGCCAGTGAAGCTGCTGACATTTCCCGGGTCTCCTTCCAACCTTGGCCTCCGAGGAGGGTTTAGATATCATGACGTTCAACCAGGAGACCGGGCTGCACCCAGAGTGCGCGTCACGCTTCTTTCGCTTCGTCACCAGTGGGTGTCGCTGGAGCCTGTCTGGGCGGCGGCTTACGGCGGCTGCAGAAGGTCTCGTCGGACCCACCTCTCTGGCCTGCGCTCTCGGCCTTGTGCTGGGCACAGAAACGCTCGGCAAAGCTGTTTGAGCAGCAAGAGGAATTCTCGGGCCCTAAAATAATCCTTCAAGACGTGTCTCCCCCCCCACTGCTGCGTGGGCTGTGGCTGCAGCGAGGAGGGGCAGCCTTCGGGCCACAGGGGCCGTTCCTGAATGGCCGTGCTCTCAGCAGTGGGGGGCTTCCAGGGGCCCAGCCTGGGTTTCACCCCGATGCTGCCCCACAGCTGGGGGTCCGGCTCCGCTGTTCAGAATCACGGGGCAGGGGCAGGGGCAGGGGGTGTCGCTGGAGAAGCTCTGCTGACGGCGGGGACACTGGCCAGGCCGAGCCAAGTGCTGCCACCACCCTGTCTGGTGCTTCAACATGTAAGTCACGTCCAAGTTTTCCCTGCTGTGGGAGACAGGACCTTCTCATACGTGGAGTATTGGGTGGGCCAAACAGTCCAGCAAATAAAACACACACTTTTCATTTCCACCAATAATTGTATTGATTTGGGTGTGTGGAGTGTGTCGGCTCTCTCCCACTGTCGGCTTCTAGTGGGCAGAGGCCAGGGGGCTGCTGAACGTCCTCCAGCGTGCGAGACAGCCCCACAGCAGAGAATTATTTGGCCAAAATGTCAACAGGACCAAGAAACTTCACAAACCACTTCTGACACCTTGGATCAGTCACAGCACCTTCTCCACACACTGCACAAAACGTTTTTTGTGTGTTTCAGTTGTGTTTTTACCTTTCTTGAAATAATAAAGCATACTACGCCCAAAATGTTGTTTATTTTATTCTGTCTTCAATATTAAAGTGGCTACACAAGAATTCACCAGTTTTTATGAGTTTTTAAACATGCACGCTGATAGCACAGCCGTCACAATGCAGTCTCACAAAATTGTTTCGGACGACGTTGAAGACAATTCGGCGCTACGAGAGCCGTCGAAGGAAATGGCCGAACGGTTTGCTGGCCGACACGGCATTTTCTGCACCTATGTGTGTTTCCTTAGAGGGATTCCCAGCGGCGGGGAAAGGCTGCTGGCACACGTCACAAACGGCTCTGAAGAATTTCTGTCCCTTGGTCCCGTGAGTGGGCGAGTGTCCCAGACTTGACAGGTGAGAATGGGGTTAACTTGAGGTCACTGGTGACTTTGGACGTCGAAAAACCCAGCACATACTAGCTGCTTTTCTTTCCTTCGCTTCACATATCCGTTGGTAACCTATAATTTGAGTTTCCTCAAAAATAAGAGTTATAGCCCTGGCCGGGCAGCTCAGCTGGTTCGAGCGTCATCCCGACACACCCAGTTTCCAGGTTCGATCCCCAGTCAGGGCACACACCAGGATCAACCAATGGCCCTGGCTGGCGTAGCTCAGTGGATTGAGCTCGGGCTGCGAACCAAAACATCGCAGGTTCGATTCCCAGTCAGGGCACATGCCTGGGTTGCAGGCCACAGCCCCCAGCAACCACACATTGATGTTTCTCTCTCTCTCTCTTTCTCCCTCCCTCCCCTCTCTAAAAATAAGTAAATAAAATCTTAAAAAAAAAAAAAAGAGTTGCTGGTTCCATTCCCAGTGAGGGCACAGGCCTGGGTTGCAGGCTCGGTCCCCAGTAGGGGGCGTGCGAGAGGCGACCACACGTGGATGTTTCCCTCCCTCTCCTTCTCCTTCCCTTCCCCCTCTCTAAAAATAAATAAATAAAATCTTAAAATCGACCAATGAGTAAGTGGAACGGTGTTTCTCTCCACTCCCCTACCCGTCTCTCTAAAACCAACCAATAAAAATTTTTTAAATGTTATAATTGTTGGGGGACTTAATTTTATAAAGCGTGCTCGTACATTACTCTCCTCACTCCAGGAAGGAGGTGGGGCCCCCAGACGGCCCCCAGACGGCCCCCAGATGGGTTGGGGGTTCACAGACGGTGCGGTGGACCTGGTTCCTAACTCTGACTCTGTCCCCGAGAACGCAGGGACCACCCGAGAGCTTCAGTGGCCCCCCGGGGCCTTGGGAGAGGGGTCTGGCCCCTCCTGTCCACAGGGTGGGGGGTAGACGGCAGTAAGGAAGTTTCTGGACCCGTGTTCACAGAGCCCCAGACCGTGAGCAGCTCGGGGGGCAGCCCCAAGCAGGAGACAGGGGGCAGGGCACCCCCCACCCCCGTCTTGTGCGGCTCGCCCAGGATTCCAGGTCCGGGGAGAAAGCTGCCACCAGGCAGATGGATGGACGGACGGACAGCCTCACTGAGACAGAAGAACCAACACAAACGACGCGGTGGTGTCAGCAACGTGTCTCGAGAAGACGCCCCTTGTTCCTGGCCCACCCTCAGCAGCGACAAACTTGGCATTCATCCAGGGTCAAAGTGCCTTTGTGGGACCCCAGCACCATAGGTCAAGGGGCGCAGGACGAGTCTTGTGCACCAGCTAGTGGGGGGACGAGCACAGACCTCAGGCCGGGCTGGGGACCCTGCGGTGGCCGGAGCCAGCTCCAGCCCCTCTCAGCCAGGGTCCTGGGGCCTCTGGGAACCCCTCGCATCCACGCCCAGGTGCGGGGTGCGGGGGAGTCGGGAGGTGGGAGGTGGGAGCAGTCCCAGCATCCCACTGGGACGAGAGGTCAGAGCGCTGGAGCTTCGGAGCGGGGAGAGGGGCAGCCCGAGTTTCCTGCGGCGCCCTCGCCCGGGCACACACACAGCTGAGGCCCAGAGCGCCCTTCCCGGCCCGGGGCACACAGCCTCGTCCGGTTGGAAGGCCTAGCGATGCTTCCTTTTCCCATTTTTTAAAGATTTCATTTATTTATTTTTAGAGAGGGAAGGGAGGGAGAAAGAGAGAGAAAGAGAGAGAGAGAGAGAGAAACACCCACGTGCGGTTGCTGGGGGCCGTGGCCTGCAACCCAGGCATGTGCCCTGACTGGGAATCGAACCTGCGACACTTTGGTTCGCAGCCCTCGCTCAATCCACTGAGCTATGCCAGCCAGGGCTTCTTCCTGTTCCCCTTTCTATGGAGGAGCCCCATTCCGCTGTCTGGAGAGACTCCCTTCCTCGGGTGCTGGGTGTTCGGGCTGTTCCCAGTCTGGGGCCGTCAGGAACGCCGCCGCCACGCGCATCCGTGTACGAGGTCTGGGGGACACACGCCTGCAGTGCTCTCGGCTGCAGGCCTCAGAGGGGGCTGCTGGGTCCCGTGACCCTCCGCTCAGGTGCGTGAGGAAACGCCGAACTGCCCCGGGGGGGGTGGGGGGGGCTCCGCCGCGGCCCCGGCCCACCAGCGAGGCGCGAGCTCCGTCTCTTCCTTCCTCGCCGACACCGGCCTCTGCTCTGGGGGAGCCGCCGCCGCTGCAGCGCCTGCGTGCTGCCAGCCCCCTGCGGCTCTCGTTGGCGTTGCCCTGACGGCCGACGGCGCGGAGCCTCTTTTCCTGTGCTTTTCGGCTCTTCGCGCGTCTTTGGGGAAATGCCTGTTCAGATCTCTGGCTGTTTTTTTGTGTGTGTGGGGTTATTTTTTTTCCTGTTGAGCTGTAGGAGTTACTCGTGTCCTCTGAATGCTGCATCCTTATCAGTGCGTGATCTGCCGGCATTTTCTCCCAGCTACAGATCACCTTTGCAGCTTCTCGATGGGCGGCCTTCGTATTTAAAAGTTTTAAAAATTTCCATCAAGTCCGATGTGACTATTTTTTCTTTGATTGTTGCCCTTTGGGTGTCCCGCCTGTTACTATATATATATTTTTTATGGTAACGTTGAAATTGCCTTACCTTGTTCTAAAGCGTTTGCAGGCATTTTTAGAGGGGCGGGTTGATTAAATCAGGGAGAATTGTGCTCTTATTTTTAGGGGGAAATTTTTATCCAGGACCCGGCTGTCTTCCGTTGTTCAGAAATGTTTCCCGTACTGTGGAGGGATGTTTTGAAGTTGGTGACACATGGATTTTGTACTTTTTATTAAGTTTATCCCCCGGTATTTATCGTTTTTATTGTTGGACACGATGCCAGTGCTTAAATGCTGACAAGTAACAGAAGGGTCTGACATCGGATTTCCAGCCACCCTGAGGTTCAAGTTCAGGTCAAGTCCAGGACTGCAGGCGGAGATCGGCTCCGACAGTTTGCTTTTTGGATCGGGGCACCGACGTCCGGAGGTGCCGCTGCCACGCTCAAGGCCACGCAGCCAGCAGGTAGCGGAGACGGCCTGGGGTCACCCGTCCCTGCGCTCCGCCTGACCGAACCAGGGCCCTGCCGTCTCCCGGCCCCCCCCCCCATAAACACCCGAGTCCAGGGACACAGCAAGCGCCCGGACCCGCGCCGCTGGGGGCTGCGTTTGCCTGGGGACCGATGCCGCCCGTCCAGGGAGGCATTCGGCAAACTGGACCCCAGAGTCAGGGGCGGGCGCAGGAGAGGGAGGCGGCGGTGAGAGGGGAGGAAAGCAAACTGCAGGCAGGCAGGCTGGGGGGCGGACACACCCCAAACCCTCAAACCTCCGGAGCTTCCTGCCTGCCAGCGGGAGGGGGTGTGAAGTCGGGCCTGCCGGCTGCCACTCTAACCCTCGCAAGGCCCCGCGTCCCCACTTCCTGCGGAGGCCGCGCCGAGCACACACTCCCCGTCTCGCCCTCGTCCCGGCTCGCCGGCCGTCCTCCGGGGGGAAAGGACACCATGAAGTGGGGGGTGCTCGTCCTCGCGGCCCTCCTGCAGGCTCAGGTCCCAGCGGCAGGTAAGGCGGCGGCGGTGGCGAGGGCCTGGGAGGAACTCTCCGTGCCCGTGGCGGGGGTGTGGGGGGGCGTGGGGGGCCGGCGAGGACCCGTGTCTGCTCCTCCGAACCCCGTCCCTGTACCGGCGACGGGCAGCCGGGCGGGTGGGGTCCGGCTCCCGCCCATCTTCGTAGACGGCGGGGCGTCAGCTCAGGGGCAGCAGCTTTGGACACGCTCCCTCGGAGTGTGGACGTTTCCAGTGGCCGGGGCGGGCGGGGGGGGACGGGGGAGGACAGGGTGGCGGACGCAGGTGGGCACCCGGGACGGGCCCGGGCTGGACAGGAGCCGGGCGGGATCGCAACATGTCAGCCGGGCCGGGTTTCGTGCTGCGTGCAACGTTGCTCTGGTTCCGCGTCCCCTTCTCCTCCCCACCCCACCCCACCCCTGGCTCCGTCGCCGGGTCCCCCTCCTCCTTCCTTCGCCAACAGCGAACACTTCACACGTCGGTCAGGCAAGGTCGTGGCTGTGGCCCTGGTGGGCCTGAAACCCCTCGCTGGGCCGGGGACCGAGTGGGGTTAGCGAAGGAGGGACGTGGCCTCCGTGTGTGTGTGTGTGGTGGGGCGGGGGGTGGTTCGTGTCTAGGCTCAGCTCCGTGCTAGCCCCATGGCCGGCGCTGCCCTGTGACTCACTGTCCCAGGCTCAGGGCCGCCCACCCCCACGCAGGCGGCTCCCCACCCGAGGCCACACAGCCTGGCGTGCTGCCGGAACACAGGGGGACCGAGCAGAGGATGTGACTTGTCACGTTACCGCCGTGAGTGACAGGCCAGCGAGAACCCTTGCTCCTTGCCTCCTTCCAGTTCGTGGAGGGACCTGTTCCAGAACCTTCCCCCACTCCCAGCCCCGTGATGAGGAGGAGACAGCGTGGGCCGTCCCGGGGGGCTGGTGCCGTGCATCTTATCAGGAACGGGACAGGCTGTGTTTGGGTCTAAAGAAACGGGAGGGTTGTCCCAAATGCCCTCTCTCACCTCCCTGTGGGATGGCGGTGGCAGGCAGGCAGGAGGCCCCCGGCACTTCCGCTCCACCCCGGGGACCTGGTGCAGGCCGGGCCCGGGGCCTGGGGTTTCACGGTCTGAGTGCCTGCGGGTTATCTGCAGCCTCACCCCTGTGTTCTCAGAAAGGCCTGGCTGGGCAGGACTCACCCGGGGCTGTGGGCGCAGAGGTCAGCGCCAGCCCGGAGCGGCCCTCCTGGTGGGCAGGGGACGAGAGGACCCACGACGCCTAGCAGCTGGGAAGTCAGTGGGTGCAGGCCCAGGGCCTCGGGCGCAGGGGACGGCCCTCGGGAGCTGAGTCACTGTGGGGCCTTTCCTCACGGGCCCACTGAGGACAAGGCCGGGGCAAAGTGGGCTCAGACGGGACAAAGGGAAGCTACGTGAGTGCTGGCCGCCTCCAGGCATGGGGGATAAAGCCCGCCCCGCAGACAAGCCGGGCTGCGGCCTCTGGAGCGGCAGGAGCCGCTGGCATTGATCTCGCCCCGACTCCGGCCGGTGTGCAGGGGGGACCTTCAGCTCCTTAGAGACACAGCTCAGGGACACATGTTTTTTCAGGGTGCTCGCCCCACTGCGGTGAGGGGACGGGAAGCCCTGGCGCCCAGGGCCCTGAGCGCCCCGTGCTGCCCCACACCCTCCGCCATGGTCCCCGGAGGGCAGGCCGCCGGTGCCATTAGGCGTCAGGTTTCTCTCTTCTCTTGCTCAGTGCGGTTCCTCGCCCCCAACCCTTCACAGCAGCGACCTTTCACGGAGCCGTTTCAATCCGCATGCACTTGGAAGCCCCTGGGTCGCTAGGGTCCAGGCAGAGAATGACCTCCCGTGTCTGTCTGCATGAGGGGTCTCCCTGGGTGGAGGGCCGCCAGGCGGTCCCCGTCCCCGGGCCCCGAGGCCGGCGGGGGCTGGGATGACGGGCCCAGCGCCAGGTGCCGCCGTTTGCCCGCAGAGCCCTCAGCTGCTCGGTGCCCCTGACTCCCCGCCCCACAGCCGCCCGTGTCCTTTGCCAGGCGAGGACAGGCAGCTGTGACACAAAGCCTCAGGAAACGCAGGCTCCCCGGCTTGCGGCCGGCTCTGCTTTTGCAGGGGCAGCTGGAAGTGGTTGCTGGGGAGAGTCAGGCCCACGGCCGTGCTGTCGCTGTCCCGGCTGCGCAGCCTCGGGCAAGTTACTTAACCTCTCTGGGCCTCCGTTTCCCCACCTCTCGAGGAGGGTAGCTTTCCCTGCAGAACTGCGGACTGAGAAGTGACCGTGACATGCCTGATAACACGCTGGGCAGCCCGTCAGTGGTCACTGCACCAATGACCACAACGGTCACCTCTTGGCCTGTTTCCTTGTTCTCCGTGCCTGGGAACAGGAAACGGAAGCCCACGGCTGGGGTGGCTAATCTGCTCTCGGCGGGGTGGCAAGGCCGCTCAGCACTTTCTCCACCCCCTTCCGTGGATTCCGAGTACGCCCCTGGCGGCAGAGGACCCTGGTGGGCTCCGGCCCGGCCCGGCCGAGAGCCCGGGGCCACAGCGTCGGCCGGTCCCCGGACGGCCTCCCAGGTTTGCTCTTTAAGCCCCCCACTCTGGAGGGGATGCACCCCACCGCGTGAAGTGAAAACACACCTGGACGATGTACGCCATCAGTGGTTAGCTCGAGGGTGGACAGGACAGACAAAGCCCCCCCCCCGCCCCCCAGCCACCACGGGTCAGGGCGGCCCCCAGGATTTGGGGCTGGGACTGGTGTGCGTGCCGTTTGCCCGGAGATGCGAACTTGCGGAACAGCAGGTCCCTGTGGAAACCTGGAGCTGGACGGGAGGGCCGCCTCTAAGCGGTGCCGGGACCGGTGCTCCGTCCGTCGACGGCGTTCTGGCCGATGGCTTACTTCCACCTGCAGCCCCCGGCTCTGCTGGTGGAGGCGGGGGGCTCCGCTTCCTGAAGGGCCTCTGGTGTGTGTATGGCCACGTCGTTTCCGCCTTTGCCTTTGTCCTCAAAAAGTAGATGAATGTGTATCGGTCGCTCCCTTGCACCGTCGAGCCCCGGGCGTGGCGTCTGGTGCTGGGGTCGGAAGGCTCTTCCGGGGCCGGTGCTTCTCCAGGCCAACGTGATGCAGGCAATCCACCGGAGCAAACCTCCGGTCAGTTTGGTTAGAAAATGACCAAACTGCTCGCTGGACCCGTTCGCTGAGACCCGACGGGCATTGAGTCCCGGCTGGGGCTCAGCCGTTTCTCCCGGCCTGGAACCCCGAGGGCACGCATGCACACGCTCCCTGGGGACCCAGCCGCCCCAGCCTCCTCGCTGGCTCCTGCGTGCACCCCAGCCCTTGGGCCGGCGCCCGGGGCGGGGTCCCCGAGCAGTAAAGGCAGGAGGAAACCTAGACGTGTCCATCACATCAACTTCATTATAACGGCTTACTGGGGAGGAGGGTCGGTTGGAGGGGCCGTGCTGGGACCTTTTCTCTAGAGCACAGGGGGGCGGGCCAACCAGGTTGTTTTCGTGCGAGAAATGGAACTGCTGGGGGAGACAGAGCGGCGCGCCTGGGCAGAGGGATTCGGAATCCTCGTCAGGATTGTTCACGGTAGAATCTGCTGCTGTTAACATTTTTTGGGCAGATCGTGTGCAGTTCCCTGCGTCCGTGTGTTTGGGGCCTATGAAAATGGTAATTTCACATGATGCACAACCGATGCATCTCCAAAACAAATAAATGAGGCCAGGCGCTCCTTCCTCGGACTTGGCTTCGACACGGGGGCCCCACAGAAGAGAAGGAAGGCCAGCATCGTTGGAGAGAGCCGGTTAATGCACTAAAAAGCTAGTGGAGGGAACCCAGGGGAAAAATGAGAGTTTGTGGATTATAGTATAAGTCACATTACTTAGGTTTATCCGATTGCCCAATTGCCTCAAAATATGAGGGGAAAAAAACCCCATCATATGCAGTTTGGTCTAGGTTACTAAATAAATGTTCCACATAGCTATTACCTTGTGTGTGCGTGTGTGTGTGTGTGTGTCCATTTGAAGTATTTTAACAAAAATACCATAAAACTATTAGAGGAAGTTACAAAATTTTAAAAAGCCATAACCCTACCAGGCTAGTAAAAAGTGAAACATTTTACTTTCATTTCTTTGTGTTCCATTCCAATATTTTTTAACAACTGAATACACGTCTTTATGCAGGTGCTGTTATAAAAGTGGTTTCACGTGCTTGTTAAAAAATTCTATTATGCTTTTTTCATGCTCGGCCCTCCTGACCGCTTTTCGTCGCCCTGTAAACGTCCACAGTTCACGCACCGCGTTTCTCCGCTGCTTCCTCGTCGCTGGGCGTGCGGGCTGGTTTCTGAGTTTTGTTATCGTAGCTAATCCTGCAAGAACAGCTTTGTGGACGCAGCTTTAAACATTTCTTTTCGGTTACTCCTCGGGGAGTAACCGAGCTAATTTTTCCGGGACTCCTGAGGGAAAGGTCGAATTCAGAGAACATTCCACAGGGCATGTCGGGCTACGGAGGCAAGCAATCCCGTGGAGGGAAGAGAGTTTGTTTTCTTTCCTCTGTGCCCGTCCAGGCGCATTTCTGTCCTCCCCAGAGCAGGGGGACCTGGGCCCAAGGCCTGGTTTGTCCCCAGGCGGTCACTGCCACCCATTATCCCCCCTTCAGAGCCTCTGTCGGGGGTGGCCACGCTGTGTGGCTCAGGGGAGTGTCGTGGGCTGGAGACACTGTGGGACGTGCCTCCATTACCACGTGTGCCTCAGTTTCCCTCCCTGCAGGAGAGACAGCCTGTCACTTCCCCCGTGCAGTAACGGCAGAGCCCCTGCCCTGAGCTGCCTCCTTTTCCTTCCCTGTCGCTCAGGTGCTGTGTGAGTGTGGCCAGAACCCCTCTGGCCTGTGGTCTCCTCACCTGGGAGCAGACAGAGGAGAGGGTCGAATGTCCCTTTCAGCCGCCAGATGACCGGGGACGGCCTGGCAGTGGCAAAGGTTTAAGGACGTTTAGCACCCTAGCCCCCGACCCTCT